GGGGTCTCGAACCCGCGGGCTCAGGTAATCCACTCACCTCAGCCTCCCAAAGGCGCAGGATTACAGGCTGAGCCACCGAGCCCGGCGAGATCTCATCTTTACAGAAAAATAAAACCATTAGGGTGTGGTGGCATACATGTGAAGTCCCAGCTATCCTGGAAGCTGAGGCAGAAGGTTCGCCTGAGCTCAAGACTGCGGTGACTTAAAGAAAAATTCCCGCCGGGCTCGGTGGCTCAGCCTGTAATCCTGCGCCTTTGGGAGGCTGAGGAGAGTGGATTGCCTGAGCCTGCGGGTTCGAGACTCGCCTGGGCAGCAAGACCTCATCTCTACAATAAATCAAAAAATCAGTTGGTCGTGGTAGCGCATGCCTGTAATTCCAGCTACTCGGAAGGCTGAGGCGGAAGGATCGCCGGAGCCCAGCAGGTCGAGGCTGCGGTGGCCGGGAGCGGCCACTGCACTCCAGTCTGGGCGACAGAGTGAGACTCCAACTCAAAAAAAAAAAAAAAAAAGAAAAAAAAGAAGGATGAGTAGGGAAAGGAAAAATGGAGGAGAGAAAGACAATGCAAATAGAAAAAATAAAGATAATATAGTGGCAAACAGATGACACATACATCAGGGCCACTCATTCATTTACTTAATAAGTACTTATCATTGTTCCATCCTAAATCTCCACACCTTTAAGTTTATTTCTTTCCCCCCATCTCGTATTTCATTGTTTATCATTTACCAAAATATGTTAGGGTCATCATTTCTTACACCATTCAGTGTGTTGACATTTAGGGAAGTGTTGCCAGTGATTCCCTGCTCTTTGGCTAAAACATCATATGCTCTCAAAGCTGCTCAAAAGACTCATAATCTACTTATGATAGTAGGGGTAAGGGGTGGTGGGTGCTGAGGAGTTTTGTGAACTGGGGTGGTATGAGGCATGGTCAAGGGAGCACATAAAAGTGCTCTACATACGTCAGTATCAACAATCAAATCAACTGATGTGATGCACAGACCGAAGGTGATCTCATGAAGTTCCTCAAACATCTACTCCAGTAAAATATATACATCTGCCTCTACCACAGAAGGTCTAGGAAAAACTCCTTCAACTGGGGGCAGGACAATGGGAGACAGCATACAAAAAGCGGTCATTCTCAGTGTTTTGGGGGGAAGACAATTGTTTAATTATGAATATAGAAGCTCAGAACAAAGATTTGAGAATTTTTAACCTATTTACTCTGCCAAAATATCCAGCATTTACATACAACTTCCAAAACATTGTTCTGTCTCATGAAGGTGCCTGTCCCAGTCAAGGAACCAGCATTTGCTTTTGTTGAAGAAAAAGGTTGTCGTGGGGGGAATTTCATTTATAAGTTTGCTTGTATTTCACTGTGTTCCTTTTTTTTGTTTGATGACACAAGAGATAAAGAGCAGCAACTAATTAAACCAGATATTTGACTAATTGGAATACTTTTTGTTTCTTTATATTTTAAATCAGTAAGCATTTACTCATATAGAATCCTAGAATTATAAAGTTGATGTCACTTTAGAGATGATCTGTGACCCATTAACATTGCCTTAAGGCGTTTTGAGAAAAACACCATGTCTAGGCCTGACTCCAGACCAACTGAATCAGAATCTCAAGGTGTGGGACTAACGGGCATTTCCACGTTTAAAGCTCCACAAGTGATTCCAATGTGCAGTCAGGATTGAGAAACACAGCTTCAGTCTCAATATTTCATTTTACGGATAAAGATACAGAAGCTCAAAGAGATGAAGTGACTTGCCCAAGGTCACACTGCCAGTGAGTGGTGTCTCACACCCAACTCCCCTTATTGCCAATCCAATATTCTTTACACTGTGCTATTTTGTCTCGTCTTTTAGAACTTAGGGTTTTGCTGAACATTAAAGTTATGAAATTTATAACTGAATGAGAAAGACCAGAGTCTCCATCAGTAAAGATTGCTGAATCAATTTCAGAGGGCTCAACTCAATCATGGATTCTCTGAAGACTACTATATCCAAGATATAGCTCCTACTAAGTCTTATTTATAATGTCTTAGACTGAAGGCAATGACTGATACTGTAGTGTATATTAGTCCTGTGGTGAGAAAGTCACTTGCCCACGATTGAGTTTCACCAATGGTAGAAGACATTCATTGACAAGTGTTCTCACTTTCAGAACTAATCACATTAAAGCAAATGATAGGGGGAAAATCAGTTTTGTTTTTGAGTTGGAGTCTCACTCTGTTGCCCAGGTTGAAGTGCAGTGGCACGCTCATGGCCACCGCAGACTTGACCTGCTTGGGCTCAGGCGATCCTTCTGTCTAAACCTTCCAAGTAGCTGGAACTACAGGCACAGACTGCCATGCCCAGCTAATTAAAAAAAATACATTGTAGAGATGAGGTCTTGCCATGTTGCCCAGTCTGGTCTTGAATCCTTGGGCTCAGGCAATCCTCTTGCCTCGGTTTCCCAAAGTGCTGGGATTACAGGCATGAGCCATTGCACCTGGTTAAATCAGTGGTTCTTAACATTTGAGTTGGGGTGGGGGTTAGGGTGGGGAGTCACAGGTCCACTGGAGAACTACTGAAAACTATAAACTTCCCCAGAAAAATACACGCATAAATGTTGCAATGTAATTTCTGAGGATTCATCAATCCCCTCCCACTATCTAAATTCATTCACAAACTCCAGATTAAGATCTGCACTAGATGATTCAGAAGCTCTCTTTTAGTGTTTCTCAAAGTGTGATCCAGGACTACAGAATCAGAATCACTTGGGGCGTTTGATAGAGAAAATACAAGATTCATAGGACTGTCACAGACCTGTTTCAGAATCTCTGGGGAATGAGGTATAGGAATCTGTATGTTTCAAACAAAAAAAATCTCCAGAGGATTCTTTTGGAAACATTTGAGAATTAGTGCTTTATTCCGACTTGAGATTTTTATGGTTTTTGACTGCTTTCATCTGTTGAATAATTTAGGCTTTTGTCTGTTCATCTATCAAATACACAAAACATTATGTTTGGTATGAACTCATTACAGAATATTTGTGTATATATACATAGGAAAACATCTGGAAAGATATATATGTATATATGTGTATATATGTACTTTATATACACATATTTATATATAAAATGATGTTAACAGTGTCTCTCTCTGGGTAGTGGGAATATGAGTGATCTTTATTTTTTCCCTTTATCCTTCTATTTTATCTATCTCTCATTTTTTTCTTCCTGTATATAAAAAAGACACTTCTTGTTTCTGAGCTCAATTTCCCTATCTGAGAAACAGGGTGTTGTAACTAGGTGAACTTGAAGATCACATCCTGCTCCGGTGGTCAGTGACTCCATACTATCCCCTAGCTTCCTGTCCATCTAACAGCACGAGCTACTTAGATAACAACAGTTTTTGGAGAATAATCATGTATTATTTTTTATGTATTACGTTGAGATGCCTAGGAACAGTTTTCGCACCGGCAAAATTATTCTCTTCTTCCTCAAGAAGCCGAAACGGAAGTAATCTACTACCTACAGCCTTCCAAAGTTCCTCCTTTCTCTCTAGCCTTAGAAAATGCCGTCCGCGCATATCTCTTAGGACCTTCAGAAGGGCTGTGAACCAAAAAGCCAGGGCGTGGTCGCCCCGCCCACCGGCCTCTACATCACCACCCCTCTCGCCGCTTTCAAGCGCGGCGATTGGCTATAAGCAAGAAAGGGGCACGCCTCTAGTCTTATGACTCGCTCTGAAGCGCCGATTCCGGGCTCTTGCAGCGTTGTGGTCGGTGGTCACTGTACGCTTTCCCCGGCTCCGGCGAGCCTTTACCCTGGTGTTGCTGCTCTTGTCGCCACTGCAGCCGCCGACGCCGCCTGCTCCGCGGGATCATGGTGTGCTTCCGCCTCTCCCCGGTTCCGAGCTCCGGGCTCATTCTGTTTTGTCTCGTCCTGGGTGAGTTGTCGGGCCCTCCTGGTTAGTCTCTCCGCCTGGGCGCCAGTTCAAAGGCCACAACCTGAAAGACGGGTCCTGGGGGAGGGGGTTGAGAGGCTCGGCAGCTGACACTGGGCGGCGGCGGCTGGCCCGAGGAGGGGAGCAGTGACCTAGAGAAGGCCTGACCGAGGGATGGCCGGGGAAAAGGACCCAGGAGAGTAAGAAGGGGCCAGTAAGGGGGTGGACGCCAAGGGTGTAGGCAGGGAAGAGTGAAGAGTGGAGAAGGTCAGGGTGAAAAGAGTAACTTGAGGAAGACACCAATGAGCGGGCGTAGGAGGGCGGGCGGTGCGTGCAGATTCTGGGGCGCCAGAGACAATTGGGAGAGTCCTGGTTTTCTGGGATCGGGGAAGAGTTTTGAAGATGGTGGAAAAACTATGGATTGAGAAAGAAAATTAGGGGGAGAAGATACTATGCCTGCGTGGAGTAGCTTGGGAGGAGTGTGAGTGGGGGACAGTAGAGCCTGAGGGATAGGGACAGGGTTGGGGATTTTGTAGGTAGGAATTTGAGGCTGTGGAGAAAGTGTGATTCAAGAGATGAGGGACGGTGCTGGATTTGAGTTTGGTAGTCATAGTTTTGAGGGTGAAGGAATCTAAGGTAGCTGGGGCAATTTCCAGGAGAGAAAACTTGGACCCAACCCTCTGGAGACTACAGGGCTGAGTGGAATGTTTGGTGGGGAGGGAATATCTAACTTGGAGATGTTGAAGATGTCCTTTTTCTCCTCATTTTGTTACTTCCTCCCAGCCAGACCCTGACCAAAAAATCCCCAGATGCTTCAGTTGGCAGGACCTCTCAGATGTGAGATTTTGGTGGTGGTGTATCTGAGTTTTGTCTACTGCCTCCTTGCCTTTAGTCTTGTTTTCTTCTCCCCCATCACAAAACTGGCCTGTTCTCTTATTTTTTGGAGGAGTGGGAAGTAGGTAATTTGCTAAGAATGGGTTGTTGGATGACCCTAAGAATGGCTGAATGAATGCTAACTGCTTGTACTCTCTGTCCCAGTAGGCAATGAGTCCCTAAGGGCTTTAATGCCTAAAGGTGAACTTTGATCAGTGTCTCTTCCTGACCTGATTCATCCTGTGCTTGTTGCTACCCACTGGCTCTTGCTGTTTGTGACCTAGTAATATTTAAAACAAAAAGCAAACAGAAGGAACAGACCCAGATGGAAGTGGGGGAGAAAATGGACATGTTAGGGGTCTGAGAAAGCAGTGAGAGGTATACATTTGGTAATTCACTCTTCAGTAGAATAAAATGAACACCCTGGAACAGTGGGTTCTCAACCAGAGGACATTTGACAATATTTGGAAATACTTTTGGTTGTCACAACTGAGGGATTGCTTTTGGCATCTAGTCAATAGAAGCCAGGGATGCTGCTAAACATCCTGCTAACTCCTCACAACAATAAGAATTCTCTGCCTCAAAATGTCAATAGTGCCAGGATTGAGAAACTCTACTCCAGAACCATAGCATTGGAAGGGTTATTAATTATCTAGTCCAGTGATCCTCAAGGACCTTTTCTAGTGTGTTTGAGATCAAAACTTCAAAATAATGGTGAGAAGGTATTGTCCTTTTCACTCTTAGTCTCTCAACAGTACACAGTGGAGTTTTCCAGAGGCTACCTACATAACACGTGATGATATCACCACGTTGACGGCTCTGATGTTCTTGTGTTTTATTCATTTGTCAGTTTTAATTTATAATATGGTAAATGCTAATAGATATGACTGACATAAACCAAAGCTCTGTGATGTGTGAGGTTCTCAGGGGACAAGAGAGTAAAGAGGTACTGACACCACAACATTTGAGAATATCTAAGCTAATTCAGTTGCTTACATGGTGCAGGAAAGTCTTCTGTAACACTTCTGAAAGGGGACCATGAGGCTTTGCTTGAAAACTTAATTCAAAGCTTTAACTGCCATGCTCTTATTGAGGGCCAACTGACCCTGAGAGGATTGTTTACAATGGAAAGTACCTTATCAGTGACTAGAACACATCTGACCAAGGCATCTGTTAATCTGTAGTTCCCTGCCAATTGAATCTGTGCACAAATACAACACTATTATTGTTCAGAGAAAGTGAAAAAAAATAATAGTTGTCCCACTTGTTCGCTTTCATGTCATTAATTTTTTTTGTTTTTTAATGAAAGCTTTTTTGTTTTGTTTTTACAAAAGCAATGCTTGCTCATTGCAGAAAATAAACATGCAAAAAGAAGCATATAAAAGAATCCATCAGCTTATCTGCTACTTTGCCATTTATTGATCGAGACTGACTAGATTCATCCTCTTGGAAGATTTCCAAGATTGATTCCCTCCACCTCCAAGTTCAGAACAGTATTTGGAAGAGTAAAAGTTAATGATGTACCTAGATCTGATTTTTAAATGGCTCCAGGATGAAATAGAAACCATTTTTCTGTACAGCTGCTTTTTCTCACAGCTCTTGGTTTAGCATGGAGCTCAGAGTCCTCCCATATGGCTTTTTCTCCCAAGAATTTCGCAGTTGTTTTATGGGCTTTGCATGTTTCTTTTCTATATCAAAATGGATATACCAAGAATAGGCTTTGAAAACTCATAAATATTTGTAAAGTACCTACTATGTACCTAGAACTGTGTGTGGGTACTGTAGAGGGTGCCAATGAAGGAGGATCTGCCCTGAATTTATAGTCTCAGCATTGGTGCTCTAGCTGTGCCAGTTTTGCTTTGTAACTTTATAACTCTATCCCAGCTCCACCCCTAGCCTTTTAAAAATAGCTGCTTTAGAGTAAGTATAGAAAAGAATTCTTAGAGGCTATGCATTGGTCTTTTTCATAGAGATTAAATTATGCTGATATTTATTTGAATGAATTACAACAGATCAGGCAACTTTCCGAAGAAAAACTATTCTGATTTAGAGGAATTATAAAGAGGGTAGTGGATGAAAATCCTTTTCTGACATCATTGCCTAATTATGTCCCCTTTGTGACATTATAGATTTCAGGATTTGTCTGTGGTTATTGATTTTTATAACAAGCTTGTCTTTTGTTGTATTGTTTTGTTTTTAGGGTTGAGGCTTTTGTTTTTTTTTTTTTTTAAGGTTTGAGGCTTTTCTGGCTAGGAAAAAACTCATAGAAATATACTTAATGTGTACTTCACTGGTAGGAGCGTCTTTCTCCCCACAGATGTTTATTGTATGCCTGTTGTGTCCCAGCCACTATACTAGGTGAAAGGGACAGAGCAATGGATAAGACAGATGAGGTCTCTTCTCTCATGGAGCTTACATTTTAGTGGGGGAACACAGCCCAACAGATAAATAGTACAATGTCAGATAGTTATAAAGACTGTGAATGAAATTAAGCAAGTAGTGAGAAAGGAAAATGAACATATGATAGGAATTGGTGATGGGGGATGATTCTCCTTTTTATTACGTGGTCAGAGGGCCTTCCATTATTCGGTGACATTTGGGTGGAGACCTGAGTGTTGGAAGGAGCCCAGGCATGTGACCATCTGGGGAATAAGATTAAATCTCACCATTTGCAAACTCTCAGGTTAGTACACTAGCCTGTTTTCCACTCCTATTTTCTTCCAGTTCTAGTCAAGTCTTTCCTATGGGATTAATCTCTGAGAGCAGAGACTATCTCGTATATTGTTATTTCCCACTGCCTTCCTAGCATAGGGTAGTTAACCCTTAGTAAATTTTTGTTGAGGGTATTCATTGGTGGGCCCTGGGGATATGGTAATGAGCTAGATTAACTTTGTATCCTTTTTCTTCTGAGAATCTTAAATGATGTTTTTTCAAGACATTCTTTTGTGTCTTTGGATTGAGAACAAGATCAGTGTTAAGCAGTACAGATAATTATAAACCATTTTATTAAAGTATGATCCCATATAGCAGTGCTGGTTTCTTACCTGCATTCCTTCCGATAACCTCCATAGTCCTGAAGGGTAATATCGAGAATTAAAAGGTCCTTGATGAGAACAGTTATTTTCACAAAGAACCAGTCTTTCTCCTTTTGGAGGCAATCTGAAAGAGAAAATAAGCACTGAGGTTCTTCTGTAACCTTACCACATTTTATTTAACTGATAACTGATTTCAAGGTTCTATCACAATTACTCTGGCTATAATAGAGATACGTAAAAGGACAGGCTTGTCATTAGTCATTGATTGTCACATCTGATAGGATTACAGATACTCAGATATTTCCCGTGAAAGCAGCTTTCTCCCCCTATATCCTTGGGTGGATTTTGTCTGTAACCAAAGATTGACTTGCAGCATGGGAGCTGACTTGAGTAACCCGTGGTGCAGGCAAGCTGCTCTTCTTCCTGTAGTTATAAAAGCATTCCAATCATAATTTCATATTAAAGTGATCAGAGATCCCCTCAGATCCAAAAGTGTACTTTATAAGTACTTGTTGGTATCCTGCTGGGCATTGCGAAAGAATTCTGGAGGTCTGCCAAACACTGCTCAGCAATAAGTGCTTTCCATTAGTTGAATAGTGTTGAATCTTGTTTCCTTACCCACTCTCCGACCTTAAAAAATGAAGTCATTTTGTAGCTTAAAATCGTATTTTATTAGCCTTTATGCTCCTTTTCATGTGTTCAACATTCTTAGCTTAAAATTATATTATTTTCTGTTTTAAGAGCTTTACCAAAAACAAGAATATAAGTAACTGAATGCGGTGAGTATATCTATTAGGAATTAAATATGAGAACCAGTTAATCTGACTTAAACCTATAGGAAAACCATCATTCTGAATGAAAAAAAAGAGTCAATAAATACCGTATGCCTCTATGTCCTGTTTTTTAAAAAGACCTTTTGCTCAACGTCATTCTGAATTGAACAGTTGGAGGCCAAGAGTCCAGAACTTCATATGATAAAAGTAAACATAAACCTAAAAGTTGGGAAGGATCCCTCTAGGTACTGTGTTTACTAGAAGAGAGGCTTATAAATTGGAATCTAACTTGCTTGACAAAATTCTCTTAGATCTGAAGGGA